AAGTATTATTTTATCATTCAGCTGCAAAGTAGAAAATTCAAATCACGGCATGATTCAGACTTTTATATATAATACCCTTTCTTTTAATTATATAATAATTAATTTAAGAAGAGAGTTAGGCCCTCAATTAAACGTTTGTAATAGGAGGCCTCTGAAAAGATATAATCTCCGTCAGCAATATTTTAAAGCCTTTATCATTAAATATAAGTTGTAATTTTTGAATTTTCCACATAAATCTCGACATTTTTATTTATTTATTTTATAAATCCCTATTCAAAATATTATATAAAAATTTAATTTAAACTTGGAAAATTCCATTTTACTTATATATAAAAACAAAAAAAAAAAAACATATATGAATTTTATTTTCGATTTATTTCCCTCTTCAGCTTCACTTGTCTATAATTTTAACAAGAAAAAAATTCTATTATAAAAATTGCAACCTGCAGCTATAAATTAAAGAGTGCAGGAAAATTTTAAAATAAAATAAAATAATAATAATATAAAATATGATTTATTTCCTATTTTTTATAAAACGAATATAAAGTAAAATGCTTAAAACAATTTTATAATATTTTAGCTTAAAATAAAAACATACTTTTACGAATTAAAATTGCTTTTTCCTTGATTAAATTTACTGAGTTTTTTTTAAGAATTAATATATTAAAAAACAAAAGTTTTTATAATAGAAAATTCGTTATAAATGTAATTTATATATGTAAATGGAAATTATTTATAACAAGTTAAACACTAAAACAATGGAGTGAGATTAGGAGATTAGGAAGAAGTATAAAAATTCATCTGTAAAAAGTAAATATATATATAAATTTTTTGATATATTCTCTAGATAAATACAAGTCATAAACAATCAGAAAAGTTGTATCAAAGTCTGAGAAAAATCCTTTAATGAAATCAACTAATACTATCCTGTCGTCGCCATTTTATTGCACAGAGTGAGTGCATCATAGGCTTTGTCGATTTGCTCGTTCATTAAGAGCGAGTTCAATCTTGTTCAACTAAAAAAAAAATAAATAAAAACAAATATAATTTATCCCTTTCTTTCGATCTGTAAGATAAATATTTCACTCGACTGTCTTCGGAGAATCATTAAAATCTTTCAACATTAAGAAACCTTTTTTTTCAATGAAAACTATTAAATGTTTCCTTAAACATTTTAATAATTTCCTCTTTGATATAGTAGAGAGCTATTTGGTGTTATACATTTAAAAAAAAAAAGTAAATTTATTTTCTTGCTCTTCAAACTGAATTTAAATTGGATAAGTGAAAAAGTATTTGCTCTGTAAACAATCATTAAGTGGATTAAAGAACATTCATACTTCTTTGAAGTGTAAAAAAAATTATATCGTTTTTAATATGTTAAAAAGGATACTAAACGAGGCTACTTTCGTACCTCCACTAAACGGTGCCATTGTTAAGAGGTTTAAACGTATTTTTAATATAATTTTTAATTATATGCTGAATATGCTCGCTCGAAGAGTGTTATACTATGTCTTGTATTGCCAGAGCCAGATTTAGACTTGTTGTGGCTCTAAGATACAATATACAGGACACCTTTCCCATCCAGCAAATAGTAAATCAGGCTCTATATATTTTATATTCTTTCAAATTAGTTTTAACTTTGATTAACTACGAATATCTTTCTTCTAAAGTTCGTTCACCCCCCAAAAAAACATATTGAATATCGCTTAAACACAGTAAACCCAGTCAATTAATTGAGTTAACTGACATTTTTACATCTTGTTTAGTTGACTTTTTCGCTATTAAAATTATATATTTGCATAATGACGGGTCGTACGTAAGAGGAATACTCCCAAGAGGTTGCGAACAATAGACTCGATGTTCATTTTGATGCGTGCTAAACATAATAAGTCTTGAAAAAATGGTTATATTTTGCATCTTAAGTATCTTCAAATAATTTTTGCTCTACTTTACACGAGAAGGGTTAGAATTCTGAACGAATTAAGCTTAGTTTTCTGCATAAAAACGTTATAAAAGTAATATATTCATGCCTTTTCTTAAGCTTTACACATGCTACCTAAGCTTCAGCTTGATATCTTATATACAAAATCAATTAGTTTAGCTTAAAAGTTTATTTGTATAATACAAAAGCTGTAGTGAATCTATAAATTATCATAATTTCGCGAACTTATATGACTAAATAATCTACTAATTAATTAAAATCTTGTACAGAAATCCACTCATTAGATCAATATTTAAAGGAGGATGTATTAAGTCAAATAAAAATTATATATTTAATTTACATTCTTAACTGTAATAGTTTATATTCTACACAGTCTACACAAGAGATCTTGTATCCCTACTACACTACTTATACTTTTTAGATCATATCTCTTACTCTACTCTCTATCTTCCTCCCTTACATAATAAGGTGTTGCCTTATAAGCTTAATATATATATACACAACCCAAAAATAAAGGATCGCTCTTAATTTCTTACGTAAAAACTTGAATTCAAAGGCAAGGAATTACATTACATTCCTTACATAAGAAGTTGGTTGATAAGATGAATGCAAGTAGTTTTAAGTGTTATAATTCCACCCAAAAATATAATTTCTAGTGCATTCACTGTAATTATATAATATAATAAGCATTAAAATGTTAAAGAAAAGATGTATCTCATTATCAGTAACATCACACCTCATTAGCATCCATCCCTCTTATTAATCTTCCCATACAAAATATCCCAATTATGTGTTAAATAAACTTAATTGAAGAAAATTTAATTGTAGATATATTTTACGCTTTAAATTAAGTAAATATACAGAAATTAATCTTGATATAATACATTTTCTACTTACATTTCATATGGAAGAATCGCAGCTTATCGACTGCAAACGACAGAAACGTTGACTGAAACTCCTACTGTACAACCTTTCTATGCCTTTTGCCAATCAGCGCCACCTTCCAGATCGAAACTAGTGACGTAGTTAGTGTTCTTATTTCCAGTTCGATTCGTATTGTTCCTCTTTAAAATTTCGAAATTATTTTTATTTTTTCTAAATTATTTAATGACTTTTACATTTAAAACTTTAAGTGGAGAAGAAATTAGTAAATTTTCTTACATTTTTTAAAAATTAAATATGATTAAAAATTTATTAAAATAATTAAAAATTTGTAGATAATTTTCCTTCGATAGAGTCCGGATTCGATTTCTAATTTATAAAGGATTTTTGGGATGATCTATTCAAACTATTAGAGCAGTTGTAATTTTAATTTGTGTCAGGCCTTAGGCAGACGTAGACTTGAAAGGCCCTTTTATATAATTTTATTTTATTTTGAAGAGAAGAAGGGCCTCATATATTTCAGCTTAGGTCCGTAAGACCAAATTCGCACCGGATATAAGACTAAGTACAGTATATATCTGAGGCCTTATAGAGGCCCTATAAGAACTAGGCCCTATACAAGAGGATAGGTTTCTTGCATGTCACTGCATGGAGTTATATTATACTCGAAATAAATTAAAAGATACATCAAAGAAAGGATCAAAAGATTATAAACTTCAACGTTTGCTCTTGATTAATGTGTATTTAAAGAAATCAATATTGATGATTGATGTGTTTTTAAGATACGAAAAAATCATTAAAAATTTATAAATTTTACTATAATTTATTTATNAATTTGCATTGTATAATGATTCGTATACAGAAGAAATTAGTTTTTCAATTCATATTTTTTATCTTGAAGATTATAAAATGTAATTTAAAATTTTATAAATTTTCTTATACGATAAATAAGGAAAATTAAAGTTAGAAAATAAATTTTTCTTAATAAAAATAATATAATATTTTTACATATCTTGCTTTATTTACACAATTTACAACGCTTTCTTCTTCTTTATGGAGAAAGGACAACTTCAACATTAACCAAATCATAATTAGAGCTTCCTAACATCATTAACTACATCTACTTCTGTTGTTCAACATTTTTATTTATATTATTTTAAAGAATTACAAAGAATAAAGAAATTTCTATTCAAAGCTTACAAATTTAATTATTACACTGACAATTTTTATCACGTATATAAAGAAATCCAAAAGGACAACTTACAAAAGTGGAAAGTATTGATTCTTCTGACCGTGTTCTTGACAGTATACATAATATACTAAATTTATTATAGCATATTCTATTTTATTCTGAAAGAGTACATATTTAATTGTACAGATTGACATCATTAACTGACTTACATTACATTCTTCCTGCACAGTTATTAATTGACGTCAAACATTGACTTCGAAGATAAATAAACCATTAACAAAGTTAATTAACCGACATTATTAATAATTAATATAATATAAGAGCAATATGAATCTTGTTTGTTTGTAAAGAACCTTTCAACATCAAATTACCTTTAACAATTACTAAAGATAATGCGCTGTTCCTTGAGAATACATTGATTAAAGTATAAGATATCCTTTTAAGATAATTTTATTTAATAAAAATAATTAATGGATATTAAATTTCATGAGTTTATAATGTAATTTTTATATTTAAAATCTTTTCTTTAACGCATTTTTTATATTCTTCAGCCTAATGGAACTTATTTATATTCGTTATCTGGATTGTACTTAATTCTTAACCCATCATCTCTGTGAGAATGTGGAAGACAATACACAACTGATTATGTCATGTTAGGTTCGATATTATTATTTTCTGGCATTTCTTTTCTTTTTTTTTTCTACATTGGTTTATGTTTCTGAGGTTATTGACTGCATGAAATGTTCCATTATCTTGTTTATCATTTGGAAAATGATATCTGAGTATAGCATTAAATTTATTCTTACGAAAATTAATAAAATTCTACTTAAATCTTGTTTAATATTGTCCATATAAGTTTTGTTTTTAATATAATTTTAATAGTCTTAATTAATTACGTATGTATTTAATATACTGTACTCGTGTTTCAAAGGTTTCCTTTAAAAGTATTCATATGAATTTTTAGGTTAATTTTATAAAATTTAGTTTGTTTCAGTAGTTTTAATGAGTTATAATTAAATTTTAAATCATTTATGATTATATTTAACACTGAAATGACTTCCTTTTTTTTGTTTTTAATGTGAGAAACCAAACATTTTATAATTAAAAACATGAGCATTTTAAGATGTAAATAAACTGAAATATTTTCAAATTTCTCCATAATTTTTCAATATAAAAATTTCGTTTAAATTCATGAAAAACTTTTAAATATATGCGAAACACTAAAGCTGTGAAATGGAAGCCATTTTGTAAAATTGCGCTTATTTCAAAATTCTAATAAAAATCGAAAATTAGACTTTTCCTTAAGGGGGAAAGAATTAAAATTATTAATTTTTATTATTAATTTTAAAAGAATGAACACAGAATGTGGCTCTCTCAAAAACTCTAATCTCAAATTGACGTCACTTCCGACTTCCTAACGGAAGTGACGTCGAATGGAGATAATCCCGTATTTTCTCGGATTTTTGTACTCGGCGCTAGCGAATTGTTATCTCATTTAATCGATTTTTCTGGCAATTTTATTGACTTTGATACACTTATTTAATAATTTCCATCTTAATTTTTCATAATAAACTACATATCATCAGAGGGGAGATTAATCTTAACATGATTAACGATCCGTTAGATAATGGAAGATGCCAGACACTCTACTAAATTAACATGATTTCTTTTAAATTCCAGTAGCTAAAAACAAAAAAAACACACTTTTTCTAACGTAAATCTTAATTTTAAACACTTTATTACCTTGCAAAGTTTAACAACTTGAGAAAATTATGATTAATTAACGAGACGATAAATTCGATACCAGTTTTTCGCTTGTTTTTTTGTAATTTAACACGTGTTTATGTTTATAATATAAAGAGGAATGGTTAAAGGTTGTTTTTTTAAGCGGTTCTTCGTAAAAATTAAGTAAAATATTAGTTTCTTAATACAAAAGAATAAGTATATGTAGTCTAAAGCAGAACTTCACATACAAGGCGACGGTGGTATAGCGGTTAGCATAGCTGCCTTCCAAGCAGTTGACCCGGGTTCGACTCCCGGCCGTCGCATAAATTTTTTTTTTATTTTTATTTTTAAGTTTAAAAAATACTTTTATGTTCGAAAACTGAAATAGTGTACTTTTATGACGTCATAAAATATTTTTTTATATTAAAAACTTTTACACAAATCTACACTTTGCTATGGAAATCGATCGATACACACCACTAACTGAGCATTTCCTTCCATGAATGATACATCCGGATCCGGTTTGTTAAATTTAATTTATAAATATTTTTACCTTTACTAAACGTTTATTTAATTTACAAACGTACAAGTATTATTTTATCATTCAGCTGCAAAGTAGAAAATTCAAATCACGGCATGATTCAGACTTTTATATATAATACCCTTTCTTTTAATTATATAATAATTAATTTAAGAAGAGAGTTAGGCCCTCAATTAAACGTTTGTAATAGGAGGCCTCTGACCTGTAGTTTGTCAAATTAATTTGCGTGCAAATTAAACAAACCGGTCTTAATTAAGTTTATCATCTATAAAGTATTTGCAGCGTGTTAAAGTATATATGATGCGATTTCGTGTGTTTTCACTAAAAATAAGCATGAAAATCTTTATGAAAATATATTTTTCAGTAAATTTAGATGATTAATTTTCTTAATATATAAATTTTGATGGTCATTATCATCAAGATCGTTAGCTATGAAGTCGGGCATTCAGTGCCCAATTTGGATCTTCTTCAAAATTACAAGCTTTTCTGAGTTAATTACAGGATGTTTATTATTTAAAAAATCAGTAAAATAATTAAAAATAATATTCAAAAATTAGTTTATTAATTTTTCTATATTTTTAGAATAAATTGCATGGAAACAGAGTCAGATCAATATATTTATATAACTCCTTGGTATTATGGTCCTTGGTTAATCAGCAACTTATAGAGTATTTTTTAATAATGTATATACAAATAAAAAGATATAAAAGTCGTTAGTGTGTGGGTTTTTTAAGAAATTAGCTATAGAAAGATGTAGCACGTGATAAATAATTCTTTACCTAGACAACAAAGATGCCTTGTTTGATAGAAGGTTACTTTGATCAAGACTAAAAGCATCATTTAAAAATCTCACGTTGCTGTGAATAAATGAGGATATCTCAGATAGAAATCTAAAAAAAAAAACCTTTTTAGAAAATGTATTTTTTGTGTCATATAAAGAAGAAGAAGTTAAGTAAAGGTCGTGAAAAGATAGGTCTTCAACACTTGTCTATCAAAGGATTTATAATAGAGTGAAACAAAGAAGAAAAGATAAGTTCTTAGTCTCATCGAAAGAGTAGAAAAAAGATATTTATGCAAACATAACTCCGCTTTTACGACTAGTATCTCCAAGAACGTTATTTCAATTTAATGCATTGAATGTACGGGAATAGGATATCTCGTTATACGACGATCGTTTAAATAATAAGTTTCCCAGCTTAACTAAAACTAAGCCGTAAAACGAAAATCTATTGTAAGCATATTAAAATGTTACAAAGAAGAAATAACAAACTGTCATGTCCTATAAAATATTCCTCGAAAAGAGAGAACTGTTAAAATAAGCCGTCGTAAACCGAACCTTCCCTTTTACGTTCCTGCATTAACTATATATGGTACGGATATTATTGAAAACATGACACTTAAATAAGGCATTTTATTTCGTATAGGAAATTTATAATACGAATCGTAAAGTGAGAATTGTGAGGCTTAAAATCGTCGTAAAATGAGGCTTAGTATGGATGTAAAAAATCCATCTTAATCGTGTAAATAATGAGATATATGATGCAAATAAATTTGTCTTTATTCAAACTTAATATATTTTTTCAAGAGATTGGATTCGTTGCTAAATATTGTCAATTTTTCAGGAATTATTATGAAACTCCAATAAGAAACGACAATAAAAAAGTCGTTGTAAATA